TTAAAAGACCTAAAGTCCATCAATTTTCCCCTTTTTGATAATGACAAACTTTTAACATCGATGACTATTTGACTTAACCAATTAAGGTACTAGCACCTTCATATGTTCCCCCTGACTCTATGTTTTCCCCTTAATTACTTGCTACAATTTCAAATCGATTCTTCCCCTTTTTGGCATCAACAAAAAGACACAGTTAGATAAAACGTCATGAAGAAGTCTAACAAAGCTAACTCATGCTACATATGTGCACACACCATGATAGAAAAGAGAAGAAAAAAGGAAAACAAGCATTGTACAAGCAAAAGAAGAGCTGTTTCATTGATAAGAAATTGGATTGTTTCAATAGGAGAAGCAACGGTGAAATCCAACATGTCATCACAAAAAGATAAACAAAAAGAAAACAACAGAGCAAAAGATAACCGGTAACTGAGAGGATCCTAGGGGGAACTAGAAGAGGGAGGCTTGGAAGAGGAGGCAGCTATGGTTTGAGAACCAGGTCCATGCGGGCATTTGCAGATAACTGTTATTTAAGCAGTCTCTCCCGCAGGTTCTCCACTTGTTGCCTAAGTCCAGAACTTGTCTCATACCTGCCATCTTCGAGATTGCCGGGTCAAAGGTGCAACCCTACAAGACTTTTCTGAGTTCTCAAACTCTCCTGCCCAAGGCCACTGTCACTTAGAATGGTCTTCATTGAACTAGGTCCTCCCACAGTTTCCCACTTTTGTTTTCTAGACATTTCAACAGACTTTCCGTTCCTGCTTGCAACAGCCATAGTGTCACCTTTAAACAAATTTTTCTCAACCACAACCTTCTTAGATTTTCCACCACTCTTCACAGCTGTTCCACTATGTTTTTTTTTCTTTTTTTTTCATAGCTTCCTCTGAAGCCTCAACCACAGACTTTTGGACTTTTGTAGATCTTTTCACTAAGGAACTAGGTTCCTCCACAGCATCTTTATCAACCTCAACCACTGGAATGTGTTTGTCAGCCACAACTTCCCCCTATTTCATCAACCTCTTCTTCTTTTTCTTAATACTCTGCTTACTCTTCTGTAAGGCAGACTCAAAAGCCTATTTCTTCTGCAACCTCCTGGTTTGTTTTAGCTTAAAGAGAATCAGGTTCTTCAATAGGTTTTTCTGTGATGGTGTTATGAACCGGAGACTCGAAAAGCACCAGAGTTCTTTTATCCCCTAAGAATGGAGTTTCTTCCCCCTAAGATTCAGGCAGAGGGGAGGCTCCTTCATTCATAAGACTCTTAGCAGTGATAGCCATGATATTTAGTATCGCTTCCTTTTCTGGTGACTCCGTGGGAGCCACTGATCCTAGAACGGAGGAGTTCAAGTACTGGTCAGAATCTTCCTCAGAGACCTCTGACGCCTGAGGAGTAGCATTTTTGGTTTGTTCAGAAAAAGGAGGAGAAGTAGGGTTTGCAACACATGGAAGTGAGACAGGGTTTGACGGAGGAGTAGAGGTGACTGGAGATGAAGAGGAAACCGGTATGGGCACAGTAGTATCAGGGATAGTGAAGAAGTGGGTTTCTGGTGGTGGTGTTAAGGGAGGTGGAGATGTGGTAGTGGTGTTGATGACAGGAGAAGGAGACGATTGTTCGTTGGCCATGGTGAAAGAAGTGGTAGGGAGTTCTGAAGAAAAAATTAAAGAGATGCAAAGGGAGATAATTGTTCAGAACTGCTGGGAGTGTGAGGGTTTTATGGAAGAAAGAGCTAATAATGAGAGGGAAGAGGAACGAGTTCTGAAGAGTTTTGAAATTATGGTAGGTTTGTGGTAATACATAACGTGTAGAGGAAGTGAAAGGATTTGAGAGACAAGACGTGTTATGCAGTCTCTAAAAAGTCAAATGATGTGGTAGTTGAATTAATTTTGCTATCCTTTTGAAAAAGCACGCGAAAAACACATTACTACTAACCCGTGGTACAGGAACCTGGTTTCTGACCTATTTTTGTAAAAGGGTTTTGCAGCTCTCCTCTGAAGTTCAACATTATACCTTTAGCTTCTATGATCATCATGCGTGTGTACTTTCAACAGTATAGATGTGAGTTAGGCCTAGTTAGAAAATACTTTAGCTAATTTTACCTTAGTGTGACTATCATAGTCATGTCAGCAGAACCAGGTTCTCAATTAGGTTTAAGTAACCCCAGCGCCATCCTGTTTCTCAAAGTGTTCCCTGCCCAGAGCTTTGGTGAAGATATCTGCAGTTTGATCTTCTGTGTAACAAAATCTCATACAAATAAGACCTTTTTCCACATTATCCCTGAGAAAATGGTGTCTGACATTAATGTTCTTGGTTCTTTTGTATTGAACCAGGTTCTTGACATGATGAGAGTATTGGTGTTGTCACATGGAAGCGGTACACAATCGATGTATACACCAAAATCTTCCAATTTTTGCTTGATCCACAGTGAATGAGCACAACATGAGGCAACTGCAACATATTCTGCTTCAGTTGTAGAGAGAGATATTGAGTTTTGTTTCCTTGTACCCCATGAGATAAAACATTATCCAAGGAAATGAGTCATTCCAGATGTGTTTTTCCTGTCCACCAGATAGCCTGCATAATCAGCGTCAGCATAACCAATAAGGTTGAAATCGTCACTTGAAGGATAGTACAGAACCAGGTTCTGTGTGCCTTTAAGATATCTCAGAATTCTCTTAGCAGCCTTTACATGAGATTCCTTAGGATTTGATTGGAACCTTTCACATACTCCCACACTAAATACAATGTTAGCCTGCTGCCAGTAAGGTAGAGTAGAGATCCAATGATTCCCCTATACATTGTTTGATTTATAGGTTATCTAGAATCATCCATGTCTAGCTTAGTAGTAGTAGCAATAGGGGTATTGGTCACCTTTGATTCTTCCATATCAAACCTTTTTAAGAGTTCTTTGATGTATTTCTGCTGACTGATACACATTCCCTTTATGGACTACTTCACTTGAAGACCCGAGAAGTCATTCAGTTCCCCCATCATACTCATTTCAAACTCACTTCCCGTGAGTTTAGCAAATTCTTCACATAATGAGTCAGTTGTATCTCCAAATATGATGTCATCCACATAAATCTGAACAATGTGCAGGTTCCTTCCCCGTGTCTTCAAAACAATGTATTGTCAATCTTTCCTCTTGTGAAGCATTTTCCAAGAGAAACTTGGATAGTCTCTCGTACCAGGCTCTAGGGACCTACTTTAATCCGTACAGTGTCTTATCCAATTTGAATACATGTTCAGGATGTACATGACGTTCAAAACTTGGAGGTAGCTTGATATAGACTTCTTCCTTGAGAAAACCATTCAGGAAGACACTCTTCACATCCATTTGGAATAGGGTGAATTCTATATGTGAAGCAAAGGCAATGAGGATCCTAATAGCTTTCATGTGAGCTACTGGGGCAAAAGTCTCATCATAATTGATCCCTTTCTCCTGATTGTATCCTTGGACAGCAAGCCTTGCTTTGTTCCTTGTAGTATTTCCATGTTCATCCAATTTATTCCTGAATACCCACCTGGTCCCTATGATGGTTCTGTCTGAGGGTCTAGGTACCAGATGCCATACCTTGTTTCTTTCAAATTTATGTAGTTCCTCTTGCATTGTAGTAATCCAGTCTGCATCCTTCAAGGCTTCCTTGATATTTTTGAATTCTATTTGGGATAGAAATGCTGAGAGGGCTAGGGAATTTCTGGTTTTTGATCTTGTCTGAACTCCAGAATCAAGGGGGGTGATTATATTATTAAGTGGATGGGAGCTTTTTTGTTTCCAATTTGGGACTGAATTTTGATTGGTAGAGGGACTAGGTAAGTTAAATGGATTTCTTTGCACTCCTTGTTCTGTTACTTGTGGAGTGCCTTGCACTGCATCTCCAACTCTTTCTTCAGCTTTAGTGGTAGTACTTGGGGTACCAGGTTCCTCTTGAGAAGTGGAAGAGGATGTTACATTGTCTTCACCTGTCTCCTTCATCTGGCTCATCATATTAGCCTTGCCATTTGAGATATCAGATATTTTCCCAGGAACCAAAAGTGGTTCATTATCTTGATCATCTCTGTTTCATTCTTTGTTAGAAGAGGGTGTCTCGTTGAATAACACGTGAACACTTTCTTCCACACATTGTGTCCTTTTGTTGTAGACTTTGTTCTAAGAAATAGTGTCTGGGTGAATCTTAAATAGTCGTCCACAATCACAAAAATATACTTCTTTCCACCTCTGCCTAGTATTCTCATAGGACCACACAGATCCATATAAAGGAGTTCGAGTGGTTTTGATGTGCTAACATCCTTCTTTGGCTTAAAAGATGATTTCACATATTTTCCCTTAGCACATGCATCACACACTCTGTGATCCTTGAAATTTGAATTTGGCAGACCACGAACCAAGTCCTTCTGTATCAATTTATTCAGAAGTGAGAAGCTTGAATGCTCCAATCTTCTATGCCAAAGTTCTGCATCATTATCAACTGCCTTCAAGCAGATCATATCACCAGATTCCCTCCCTGCAGGGCTTTCAGTGAGAGAATATCCATGGTGTTTCCAGTCATGTGCTTTGAGCATCCACTGTCCATGATCCATTGCAGTTTGCTTCCTCTCACTGTTCCCTGCACATATTAATTATGGGTTAGATTTAGGAACCCAAACTAGTTTGGGTCCCTTGTAATGAAAAAAGGGTGGATAAGAGCTTTTCTAGTCCATGCAGGCAAAATGTGATTTTTGCGAGTGGTACCTGGTCCCTCTTTTGTAGTCACTTTTTCAGCAAACACTTTGTTTTTCTGAAGAGATTGAACCCTGACCTGGAAATTTTCTTTGAAGTGCCCATTATTCCCACAGTGGGTACAAAGCCAGTTATCAGGAACAGTGACATACTTGCTGTGAGGGTTGTAAGGAATTTTCTCCTTTTGAAACCCAATTCCCTGCCTGTTTCCACTAATGTTGAAGTACATGGCAGTGACATCATCTAAGGACCAGGTCTACTTCAGAGATTTATTAAGATCAATTTGTACTTTCTCCAATTTAGCTTGAAGTTGCCTATTTTTCTCGAGTTCACAACATAGACTAGTTTTCACATCATTTAATTCCTTCTCAAGCTTGATGTGGGTCTCACTAGATACTTCATTCCCTTTTCCAATACTTACAATCCTATGTTCTGATTTGAGTCCCTCAATGGTTTCCTCTAGGTCTGTGATTCCCACCAAAAAGTCATCTCTTTCTTGCTCAGTAGTTGCAATTTTCTCTTCTAGAGTATTCTTTTCTTTGCTAAGGTTTTCTATAGTTTCCTTCAAGTCATTTCTCTCATTTTCTACACTATTTATTTTTTTAGTTAGAACTTCTTTTTCTTTTTCAAGATTGCCTATGGTCTTATTTAGATCAACTACACAAACCACTAGATCATCTCTAGATTGTTCAGCATCTCCTAGCTCTATAGTCAGGACATCTTTATCATTAACAAGACCATAATATGCATCAACTAGAACATTTGCTAATGACATCAATTTCTTAGAAAAACAGGACTTCAGATTTCTCTGAACATCCCTGATTTACCTCATCATTATCATCCTCTTCATCATCATCGGACTGAGCCATTAATGCAAACAGTGAATCATATTCCTTTGCTTCATTTTCCACTGCGATCATGGAACTGTTTTCTGCATCTGGTTCCCCTTCTAATTTACTGGACGAGTCTCCTCATGTAGCAAGAGCTTGCTTCACAACATTGTCATCTGCACCTTTTTGGCTGAAATGTTTGTCAAGAACCGAGTTCCTTTTTGTTGTTATGTTAGAGTTGTGTTTGTAATGCTCCTTTTTCAGAAGTGGGCAGTCTTTGATGAAATGCCCTAGCTCAGCACTTGTGACATAGATCATAGTTTCTTGGTTTGCTTGAACTGCCTCTCTTAGGTATACCACCATTACTTCGAACCATCTTCTGAAATCTTCTAGTGAGATAGGCCATATCACTATCTTCTTCGCTTGAGACATTATTTTCAGCCTTGAGCACCAGGTTCTTCTCCTTCTTTGGCTCTCTTCTTTCACTGTCTTTCTTTCTTTTCATCTCGTATGTCTTCAGATTTTCAATTAACTCATCCATGGTTAGAGTTTGTAAGTCTTTAGCTTCAGTGATAGCATTTACCTTACTCTCCCAAGAACTAGGTAGAACACTAAAGACCTTCCTTACAAGCTTGTTTCTGGGAATAATTTCTCCAAGGAAATGAAGCTCATTTATGATAGATGTGAATCTTGTGTGCATGTCTTGTATAGACTCATCATCCTTCATCCTGAATAGCTCATACTCGGTGGTGAGCGTGTCAATCTTGGATTGTTTAACTTGAGTAGTTCCTTCATGTGTCGTTTGCAATGCTTCCCATATTTCCTTGGCAGACTGACATGCTGAGATTCTATTGTACTCATTATGTCCTATACCACATACCAAGATCTTCTTGGAATGAAAGTTCTTTTCTACAGCTTTTCTGTCAATATTGCTGTACTCTTTTTTGGTTTTCGGCACTATTAGTCCAGATTCTCCAAGCTTCTTCATAAGAACATGTGGACCATCACAAATGACGTCCCACATCTCTAAATCTTCTACCACTATGAAATCATTCATACGAGTCTTCCACCAGCCGTAATACTGACCATTGAATCTAGGGGGTCTGTAGGTTAATTATCCCTCCTCAAAGTTAGGTGGAGTAGCCATTGAGATCATTTCTAAGTGTTAACCTTTTAGAAAGAACCTGCTCTGATACCAATTGATAGTTTATATGGATCCACCACACTATAGGGTACCTAGTTCTCTATGAGTTTTCACTGAAAATACTAATGAACCAAACTGTATAGAGATCTGGTCCTACATCAGTTCCCACAGTGCTAACTACTGAACCAGTATGTAAATGAGACACATGATTTTTACGTGGAAAAATCCCAACTCAAGGGGACAAAAAACACGACCTACACTGGTAGGTTTTCAACTTCTCTAACTTGTAACTACACTATTACAAGCCACTTTGTAATGGCTCTTTACAAAGATTTCAATCACTCTAACTTGTAATATACTTATCACAATCCACTTTGTCACTCACTAGTTACAAAGACTTCAATCACTCTAACTTATAATACATTTATCACAAGCCAATTTGTCACTCACTAGTTACAAAGACTTCAATCACTCTAACTTGTAATATGCTTATCACAAGCCACTTTGTCACTCACTAGTTACATAGACTTCAACTTATGACTAACTCTAGTCACAACACAAACTCAGATGGTTTATGATTTTGAGTTTCCTAAAACAAAGCTTCTAATAAAGCAAGATAGGATTTACAGTGAAGAACAAATAACAAAGTCTCAACAAACCTAAGGACTTAAGATATCTTCAATCTTTGGATCTGGTCCTTGAGGTTGCAACCGCTTTGTTCTTGAGAGAGGTGTTTCTAGCACTTGAAAGAATATCACTAAAAATGCTCAATTGAATATCTTGTGCCTTGCACCAGGTTGTTATACTACAAAAGACATCATAATGGTGATGTAAATTCTTGGTTAGTACATGCCTTTTCCCAATGGGAAGTGACTACTGCACTGTCTGCTGCACTGTTGCATGTACAGTTACAGGCAGTCACTTTGTGTAGTTGCTTTCCAGCTATATAGTTGACTTATATTTCTGTCAGGGGAACACCAAGGGATCAGGTCCCTAATTTGTTTCTTGTGAATCTGAAGGCACACTGCTCAGATTATCTTGAGTTGATGACCTTGAATGATTGTACCAGGCATGTTTTAGGTCCTTTATCTGGTTCTATACAGAAAATTTGTTAAATCATTAAAACATAGATTAAAAGTCTTTAAGTCCATCAACAGTACAATTAAAGCATGATGTAAACCTAAGACTACCCGGACATCTCACGGAATATAGCTATGCATGGGCTCTCGTCACCTAGTGCGTACATAGCTCCCCACACAAGTAACTGACCACAAAAATATACCTAAACGGATGAGTTCCCTCTTACAAGGTTAGGCAAGATACATACCTTGTTCTCAAGCTTATTTGCAGTCCACCAATAGCTCTACCTTGTTGCTTCACGATCCCAAAGCAACAAAGATATAAAGCCAGTGTGATCCATTACTTGTACTCGAAGCTTGTACCTGAAATACATGTTTAGAATAAGAAATTGAAACTTTAGTTTTATTTAATATTTTATAGTAAAATTGGTCCTTATTTTTGTAACTTGCAACTTTAGTTGTATTTCACAGTAAATAGTGAAGCTTATCAAACCTATGAGTGGCAGAACTATCAAGGCGATCACATTTCTTGCAGTGAAATTTATTTCCAATTTTGTCAACCTTCTTCGAGCATTTCTTGCACCCCAAATATGACCATTCTTTCTCAAGTAGAAGATTCACTACAGTCGCAACAATCCAAATATGTCCTTCCTGAAAAGAAGTCAAGTTGTAGCAATGTATCTTGCAAATTTGATTGTTGGAATCTATATATAAATGCCAAGAGCATAAGCTGTGAAAATTTCATTTATTTCCAAAACCAAAAAAATAAGCAACTAAGCATAGATATTAAATTAGTTCCATTAAATGATACCTTCAATAGTTCAATCTGTAAGCATTCGAATGCATAAGGTAATATCACATCAACAGAACCATTTAGGATTTCAGTTGTACAATGTTCCTCCTACTGTAATCATTCGAGAAACAGAGAGGAAAGACATTGCAACCACACCACTACTAACTCTGCTTTCCACTGCACCAAGAGCTGATGCTTGGGCTCTAAGTCTTAAGGGGAAGATTTTAGATTTTAATACCCAACAAATAGGACCAATACACACGGAAAATAATGCTATATTTTCACATACACATAAAATTGCTAATTTGATTCCAACTGAACCATTCAATAGTAAAGAAAGTGTGAGGCCAAGACATATGTCTATAACAAAGTTTTCCTACCAACTTATATAACAGGGATTCCAAAAAATATATATGTGCACATTTAGGAAAACAAATAGTATTTATAGACCTAACAGTGTTATACATACACAACATAACATTAGTTAAATACTAAAGGAGTTTAATAGATTAGTCACCTCCATGCAGTTGACCAATTCTCTAATAGTTTTAACTTCTACCGTTCCAGTAGCCAACTTATCAGAAACAGAATAACTACGCTGAGAAGGTATTTGACTGATCCTGGCAGAGTTAGCTTCATTCACACTTGCCAATCTGTATTTACGCAAGGTTGTATTAGTTTTAACCATAAACAATTATTTGCGTAGTATCCACATAAACTTAATTTATGAAATAACTAACCTGGACTTAAAATCAACAGCTTGAGGAAGATCCGGGTTAATCCAGAGCTTTGAGACATGCCAAGTATTACGCACAGAATATTTGCCTATATATAACTTTAGTTTCTGAACCAAAATATTAACATAAAAAATTTATCCCATGTCATCAAGACAATAGAAATACCTTGAAATTTGTGAGCTTTTATCAACTGCATAACAACTATGACCGGCTGATAGAGTGATCCCTCTAAATGAGGCAAGATTTGGTCAACGAATTCTCCCCAAAATGTTGCCGAGATATTATTCCTCCTGTGTAATTTATGTAACAACTTAATCAGATAATGATAAGTAATCATGTTAATATATAACAAAGTAAATTTATAGACGCAATCTTACTCATGATCTTCAAGTTCCACATTCATATAAGCGCTTTTTTTATCACCTTGGTTATGGGATTCTACTTCACCATAACTTACAACCTCTCCAATGACATCTATAATAATTTAAAAAAAATGATCAGGAGAAAGTTGATAAGACATTCAAATAAAAGAACTGCGAATTGAATACTTACCGAAGAGTTCACTTTCTTCAACATCAATTTTGTTTATCAAATACTCATAAGGTTTTAAGTCGAAGATACTCATACCAAAAAGATGATCATTTGCTTCCTCTACAATCGTCTTATGAGTAAATGCCAACTTCAATTTATGCCGCGTGTATTTAAGTTTCATATAATTTGGTCCAACCACAAAGTTCTTCATAAAGTACAAACCCAATTCTTGTATCTTTGGTTTGAACATACGTATAAGAGACCGACCAACAGTCGCATGAATACGATCGCCCTAGAAAAAAAATTCATAATTAATATTGAGTCAGACAAATACTCAGTTGTACAGTGTTGTCACAGAGTATATTAAACAGTGAAGCATCAATGGGTAAATCCTATATGTGAATGCTTGCCTTTCCAAAATAACACATACAACATATTAGATATCCCAAAAAGTTCTCGCACATAAAATACTAAATTGCAGATTAAGAGTTAGCATCATTTACACCTAATCTATATATATGGAAAAGCTGTTTTCGAGGTATCTCCATCTAGATCATAAAAATTAAAATTGCAGTTGATTAAATACACGTGTAACCTAATGAATTTCATAGTACAAAGTAGAAGATGAAGATTGTAGTCAAATTAGGAGAAAATATAAATGCAACTAAAAAAGAATACACCTTTTCGTCTTGAATAATTAATTCAAGGGAGACGGTGTTGTATGGTTAACGTGCTACAATCTCACTACTCGTACCTTCAAATTCCAACTCATCTTGTTACTCGATATATTGCTGATAT